AAGTTAACGTTGACTCAGCTGAAAGAAAAGAATAATTTGCACAAGTGGCTGGTGTTGGGGGCTTGCCATACTGTAATTATTCAAGCTGCAATTATCATGGTGTTAACATATTTAACAAAAGCGTTCTGGCATACTTAGGTGTTATAAAGTTTACTTGTATTATTGAAGAGACCAACAGCAAGCTGCTCTTTTTGCCTCTGCTAAAAATCCTCTTCATTTTCTAATATTCAGAATACAATAGAATAGATTTTTCTTCCATTTTCACAGGTGCAGGAGTGCACAGGTACTTTGGAGTTGTTTTGTGTTGCTCCTGAAGTCAGTGTTATAAAATATTAAGCATAAAAGATAGAAGAGCAATATGAAAGTAAAAAAGTGCAGCAACGTTTCTATATTCTGAATACAAAATGTTAGAAGACGCTTTTCTCGACCCAAAGATTTTGGACAATCACATGATGTTTATCACACCTGTTGTTGAACATTGTTATTTTCTACAGCTCTTATTACTCATTACATGGTTACACTGACTGCTCTTAGAGCCTGTTAGGTGCTCACAACCTCGATTTAAGAGCGCTCCTCACCGGTGTTTATTGTTGCTAGGTTACGAAGTTGAACTCTTACTTCGGTAGTGACCGTTTAGATAGCTCCGTGTGCTTAATGTCTTCCTTCATCAAAGGAAAATCACCAAGAAAACAGGGAAATTAGTTTAGGAAATCATGTCCTCTTGGCTTTAGTAGCTGCGCTAGACCTAAAAGTTGAACCCTTGAAAAGGCAAGTCATAAGTTTCTTCTTTGCCATTGTTGTTGGCAAATATATGAGAAGCCCCGCCCCTTTTTGACTCTGATTGGTCAGTGAGAGAGAGAAGATTTTGACGGATGCTGAGATGTTCCAAAAGTTCAGCTTTCTTTGAGCACGGTGCGGGTGTATTTTGTGCTGTCGCTAAGCGCTGAAAAAGCTGAACTGCGTTGGTTTTGTATTGAAGCTGCAAAAAAACTGTATTTGTGGACATGTGCCTTATTGCACGTTGTATCGCCCTGTGAGCTGATTTGCTGTCCACCCACTTCTTTTTGTTTTGAAGTCACACATTTGTCATGTTTTAAACATCATCTAGCATCATTTGTCTTCTTGTTCTGTTTATTTTTTCTCAAGTTGAAATCCCCAGTTTCTGCTTCCTGTTCGTCCTTGTTGCCTAGAGACGGCATGAAAAACCGCACATCACTTCCAACACCTTTTTCTATTTCTTCACTTGTTGTGTATACCTTATTCAGCAGACAATCTGTAAAAACAACAACAACAACATGGGCTACATTTACCCGGAGTAAAGCCCTACAGTATATACAGTTTGTAATCTCTTGGATAAACTTGTAATCTGAGGAATGAGAAGTTTGTAATTGTTTGATTTCTGGTTCTGTTGATGGTGGCAGCAGACTGAATATGTGCTGTCTGAGAAAAAGCTTTTAAGGACAAAGGAGGCATTTTATCATTTTGTTTATCAGATGTGCTTGAACACTGAACAGTGGATTTACTGTTTTTGCTTTAGTGCTGCAAATACTGAACAAGCTGCGTGCATATGTTTACTCCTACTTTTACAAAAAGGCTCATATGAAATAAATGTGAAGGTTGTTATCACTCTCGTCCTTAACAAATAAACAATTCAGCTGTTGCTGTTTAACTATTTTCTAATCAAGCTTGTACAGTCGCAAGTCCTTTATTTTGTCACTGCAATGACTCTACACAAACCGTTTTTAAAGTCACTAAATGAAAACATCTCCAACATGAGTCAGTATGACAACAAAATGACCTCAATTCAATAGAAGAACATAACATCTGTTTGGTTACTCACTGTTACAGGAGTCGTAGAAGTCCAAACAAGACGTTTCCACTTGATCAAATCATTGGAGTGGCATTTACACAGAATTGAACATTGACCTTTGAGTATAAACGCTGAGACTCGTCACACGTATGTGCTACCTGGTGATGTAGGATTTAAAAAGAAATCATTATCTCTATATGACAGAGTCAGTTACTTTCCTCTGGTGCCGTTTTCTCGCTGTGTAATGACAATATAAACATTGTATTTATAGATATTATATCAGATCTGTTGTATCAATGTGTTGGTGAAAGGCACGTTTACTGAGAAAACTGGAAAGATGGTATGAATCAAAGATTATTCTAAAAGGGAATTTTTCCAGTTTTGGCTTCACACATGGCTTTTCACACAAATGTTTTGAAGCGATCTCTGTCTTTTTTGAGTTTGTTATCTCAGTTTTTGAAGGAAAAACTCATTTTTTTGTAGTAGTACAGAAACATAAATGCATACCCTGTAAGGTTGTAGAAATTTTCAGTATTACCATTCTTTACAACATTTTTAGTTGCTGTGTTTTAGAAAAAGATATCAATATCTTTTGATTTTTACCAGCTTTAGTTTAGAGTATTGTGACAGCAAACCTTTATCCCTGGTACAGTTGTCATTAAATGGAATAAAAACACTTTTTGTTTCTTCTCTAAAGTTGGGCATTTATCATGGGTGTCAATGGGGATTGACTCTCTTTCAGAGCCAGCCTCAAGTGGCCATTTGGCGGAACTGCAGTTTTAGTAACTTGGTTGGGAACTGGAGGGTCGTCGGTTCAAGTCCTGGTGCGGACCAAATCTGGAAGTTGGTCTTGTAGCTGAAGAGGGGCAAGTTCACTTCCTGAGCACTGCACCCCACTAGCTCTCTGTGGGCAACCCCCTCAATTAAATAAGTGGATGTTCATAGGATCCCATTTGTGCGTGTGTGTGTTTTTCAGATATGTGTGTGCAGCGTGTTCAAATACAGAGAGTATTAATTGATAATTGATAAAGTAATCTTCTTCTGCTACTACTTCTGCAACAGAAAAATATGTTCCAAAGAAAGTTTTTTCAAATTTGAGACCATATTAAGAACCGTTTTATGACTGATGTGTGCCTGTGTGAGTAAGCTCTAGAGTTTGATACTATTTAATTAACCACACGTTGTTTATTTCTGTTTATTACGATGATAGTATGCAAATGCACTTACATAAAAAGTATCATGCACTTAGGTGTTAAAAGAGATTTAAGGGCGGAAGTGGAGAAATAATTTCAGAAACTGCATAATTCATGACCTGCTTGGAATAATAGCTGATGAAATATTCATTGGCTAAATTACTTATCTATGTAATCTGCTTTTGTTGTGGGGTTGAGAGGAGTAAGGACAAAGGCAGGGGCTAAGGTGAGAACAAACAGTTTGATGATTTGCAAACGCGGCAACAATTCAGTGTCGGCCCTAATTTTTATGAAAGAGACAAAAACACAACACCATTCACCGTCACAGAAAGGCTTTTTTAGTTTACCTTTTTCACACAAAAGTAAAGTGTGTTGGATGTAGTCATGCTCATACAAGCACTCATGGAAGACATTTGTAAGCTTCTCCTTTTGTGCCAATTACAGCCAATTACGTTTCAAAGACGTTAATCCAAAGCAGTGTAATGTCAGTGATTTGACGGGGAGGATTTGAAGGTGTTTAAGGTGCTGTTTCTTCCCGTTGATGCAATTCAAAGTCTCCCAGCTCTCCCACTCCTTCACACTCACTCACTCACTCACTGCCTCAGAACTACATTACCACAGATGTTCAAAAAAGATGCTGGGCCGAGCCCGTGTTGCGCACTTCAAACAACAAGAACACAGGGAAGCGTGCAACTCCCAGGAGTGTGCACAAACTGGTTCCACTGTGTCATCATTAAGGTTAATATTTACTGTAGTGAACCTCGGCTTCCCCTTGTTTTCATAATCCTGTAATCTGTGCGCTACAAACTGCAAAAAAAACAAAAAACGCATGCAGTACATTTCAGCATGAGCGCACATGCAAACAGATGATTAAAAGGCGGTGGCTCTCAGTGAAGTTCCTTCCATTGTCTTTGTTGCAGGCGAACGCGACATGTCAAGTCTGACCCAGTTAGTCACAGTGTGCGCACCCGGAGTGTCAGAGAGGAAGAAGAGTCGGGGGCGTCGCTTTTTTGTTGTTTTTTTTAGATTTTTTTTCTACTTTTCTCTCAGCCGCCAGTGATCCTTCCTTCCCTCTCCACCACCGACTCAGTGGAGGAAAGAAGTGTTTCTGTGTCAACCATACTGACACATACAGTAGTAGAGACATGCACTGGTTCAGTATAGGAGTTGTGTCAGATGATGAAACTCCTTTTTAGAAAGAGGTAATCCTATGTAGCCGTAGTTCAGATATCTGCATTGTCTTGATCTCCTGCCTACTGTATACAGTGAATTGATACCGGCCGGAGCATTACCATCTCCTAATTGAGCTGATTTTACATCTGTCTCGTGTGTGTGAGAGCCAGCTAATTCCAGAAGCTCTTTACAACACAGAGCCAGTGATACTCTGCCAGTTGATTGCATAGCTGTAAGAATATCCACAGAGCTTTATCCTCTTTTTCTCTCGAGGACATAAGCTCCCTTGATGTAAATTACACAAACTTTGGTTTGGTTCAGATTTGCATTACATCTTATTAAGATGTCAGCTTTACAAGACTTGCAGCTTTTCAAGCGCCGAGGCCTTTGCTAATTAACAAAATTGAAGAAGAAAAAAAAAAAAGAAGGAGGAAAAAAGCTGATCTTGAAACAACAAAAATGGGTTCAAATGGTCGCTCCCTTCTGACCTCGTTTTTAAAATGCTGGACAGCGCTCACCGGGCCTGGCCTGGCTCTGTGCGCTGCAGTATCTGCTCCTTGGGTTGATTAATGCACCGGGGGGGACTCGCACAGCTGGAAAGGAGGCAGCAAACCAGCGGAGGGAACAAAGCCTAGTGGGCCACACGGGGTGCAGCAATTAAGCTGTTTTCTTGTTGTTAATTAAAAGCAAATTAGAGACTGCGACAGGAGTTGCCATCTAGACTTGATTGTAGGCAGCATGTATGCACAGCTACACCTGTTGTCGCATCTTCACTCTCTCATCTTAATCTTTTTTTTTGTTGTGTGTGTGTCTGTCTTCCTCAGGGACGAAGAGGAAAGACTGGGGAACCTGGACCCAGAGGACTTCCTGTAAGTGCAATACAATAATAGAGGCATATTCACATATTCAACTGTAAGGTAATGAAATGAACTCCTTCAAAATCCTCACTCATACTGCATGGCAAACTAGAAGGGTATCCAGAGAGTGCACACGCTTCTTTAAAGGCTTTATATGCGATTTTTTTGATCCAGCAGATGTCGCCCTTGAGCTCCAGCATGAAACCAAAACAAACTTGCGCTGCATTGTTGTGTTAGCATGCTAATGCTAGCGATCTTTATTATGCTGGTATCTTCACACTGCATGTAAATTTACCTGAAATGAGCGTGATCTAGAAACACAGTTAAGCAGTGAGTACAGTATGTTATTCTTCTTTTCTCTAGTCCCTCAATTAAACAACTTTTATACACGAGGGGAGGAGTCAGCCGGCCGTCCGGGCGATGTAAACAAAGTGAGGATAGGACTCTGAAAACTCTGAAAGCATCACAGACAGTGGGACTCGGGTGTTACACCCATTGTAGACAATCATGACTCAGAGTTATTTTCAGAGGATAGACTTGATTTCTACATTTAAGTGTGAAAAATCACATAGAAGGCCTTTAAGGCCAATTGTCCATTCTTCTATATCATGTTACCATAAAATCCGCTGTATAAGACACACTTTCAAAACCTATTTTTTCCTCTAAAAAGTTGACTGCATGCATACACACATGCTAATTTTACCGAGAGTGCAGCGGCCACTATCACACACTGCACACCAGGTGATGCCATTGAAAATTGGTGGGCTCCACGACCCACTGTTGGGTCCCAACCCTCCAGTTAAGAACCGCTGCCTTAAGATAAGCAATGTCTCTATGAAGTGAGAATTCACCACAAGTGGACACATTACAAGATGTTGCAAAGTCATCATAGTTAGAAAAGCCTTTTAAAGCAGCAGACAGGCTCTAAGAACACCCAGTTTGAAGGAGCAATCACACTTTCTCTAGTGAAACATTTATGTGAGGATGTTTGCAGTGACTCCATGCTTAGGCTGTATTGATCTGCTCAAAATGTTTGTTTTTTTTCCTGCAAACATGCGTTATTTCCCAGCTTAAAACTACATGGAGTGTATCAAGGTAGCACTTGAGACTTGGCTGTATTGATGAGCAGGACGAGTCTGTCTGTAAGGCCCCGTTGACTCCTTGAGTTATGGTCTTTTCCCTCCGGCGCTCCGAGCACTGCCAGACACTGTTTGTGCCCTTTTAGTGTGTGGGTCACTACACAAACACACAAACGCCACGATGCGTTACCGCAGACAGCTTGTCACCATCTAAACTGCTCTGATGTCAAGACAAACAGGGAGTCTTTTTAGGCATCATGTAGCGCTGATGCATCGACAGTCCAATTATTTTCATGCCCCATTTGGGGGCCCTGATTTCGCTCTTGATCAGGACGAAGGAGGTGGCCGTGTTTTAGTTCATCTAAAAAACTAGCGAGGTTCAGTTCTGCCTTCATAGCCGCTATGCTTCATGGGTTCAATTATCTTTATTAAATCGAGCTGCTCACTGTTAAACCTCTCTCGCTGCGTGACTCAGAGCGAGAATCCCCCCCCCCGCCCCGCCTTCCTCATAACTCATAAAGTTGTAGGACACAAAGTCTCAGGATAAAAAGAGAGACAAGTTGGAAGAAGGTGTGACATTTCTAAATGGCAGTGTCCTGATGATACCTTTAACATGTGGCAGCGTTGCCTCTGTCCCCCGGTACTGGCATTTATGAGTCTCCCCTGTTTTGCTGAAGTAGATCTCAGGGGTAAAAATCATCTATTCAAAACATTCGCCATGGCATCACTCTCTCTTGTCCGTTTTGGCAGAAGGACACGGTGTGCAGTTTGAAGGGGGTTATTTTTCAAAGTCAAATTAGCTTTTGCGTGACAACAAGTGAGTGTGTGAAAGGCACACTTACAGATAATCTATAGACTGCTGGGAGCCGACAATGTCCTCATAAGAGCGGAGCGTTAGTGCAGAGGTTAGAAAGGTATCATAAAAGGAGCCTTCAGTGTTAATAGGAATGTTTCTCAAGAAAATAGTTGGACATGGTTTAGGATTGTGAAAGAAATGACTGAAAAGTAGATAACACATGTATTCACTGGGCTTTCTGTGACATTAAATCATTTGATCCTTTTAAGACTGTTTCATTGCTTGTAATTTGCAGGGTCCCCCGGCAACCTCCGAAGGAGCAAGTGTCAAGGTATCACTCCAAACATTATTCTCCGCAAACAAAGTACTGACATGTGGCATTTAAAGTAAATTCAAGCTGTCTCCCTGTTTGATAAACTGGCCTTTACCTGCACTTCCAGCAGGCTGAATTGTCAAGAAGACAGAGCAGTGTTCATTGCAGCATTTTTTTTTGTCCAAACAGGCGAGGGAGTTTAATCATCTGCACCGAGCGGTGTTTCTAAAGGACGTACCGTTTTTTTAAGTCGCACCTGAATAACCCCTGGAACTAAAATGTGGTCAGAGACAGCGACTACTGCTAATGATCATTTCTTAGTCAGTTCACAGGTCTTTTTTTCTTAATTATGAATTTATCTCTCGGTCTATTAAATGTCAAACACTCGTTAAAAAAATACCCATCAGAAATTTTACAGGGAAAACACTGACCTTTCATTTCCTCAATGACAAAAAAAATGGAAAATCTTTACATTTAAGAAGCTGCAATCGGAAATGTCAGACATTTTTTTTATAAAGTTAATGAAGTGCATTAAAGAAACGAAATATATTAGGTGATTATTTTTCTGGATGATTGTTTAGACGCTTAAAAGGCGTCTGTGGCTCAGTGGTAGAGTCGGTCGTCTCTCATCAGGAAGGTCGGGGGTTCAATCTCCAGCTCCTGCAGCCACATGTCCGATGTGTACGCGTGCAAGACACTGAACCCCAAGTTGCTCCCACTGCTTCGTCGGCGGTGTATGAATGTGTATGAATGGATGAGTTAATACTGATGGTCACTTTACTACGCAGCCTCTAACATCAGTGTGTGAACGTGTCGGTGTGACCTGCGGTGTAAAAGTGGTCAGAAGACTCGAAATGTGCTATACAAGCTCAATTCCATTTACTGAGTTTGACCAAATCTGGAGGTAGTCCTGCCTACATTCATGTTTGTATCGATGGCTTATGCAAAAGCTTAATATGAAAAAAGCAAGATGGCGACCTTACACCTAGACATGTTGACAGCCTACTCAACATTTAATCCACTCTAAGATACTCACACTCGGGTTTTTCTGAATGAGGACAACGAGAACTTAGAAATGAAAATAATGACCTTGCTTTCTATATCACTTATTATAAAATTGTGCAGTTCTTTATCCATTAAAAAAAACTGCAAAAAAGAGGAGAATTATTTGAAAAAGACAACATGAGAGTTAGCATTTCAATTATTTCAGGTGCAACTTAAATTGTGGATTTAATGCAATACAATGAAAAGAGTTGAAATGTAAAAGGTATAAAGAAGTATCAAGTAAAGCTTTAAACATTTGCGAATCAAAGCAGCTTTGTTCCAATATGTTTTCTGGAGTGATTTTAAAATTGGAGAATGATTTAGCACACCTGATCTACTGAGATAGGGAACCCCCAAAGTCTTGGGGACAAAACACCAGATATAAATGCAGAGGATAGTTTGAATTGTTTCCTATGTATGAATGTGTAAACAGGCTCTATTGTCCTGAAAAGCAAACCAAAACAAGTCCAACATGTGTGATAAGATCCCTGTCCTTGAAGGATATTCGAGCCTGTATTCTCTCTCGTCTGAAATGACACCTTTTCATTCGTTTGTAGTCTCATCTACTGTGAAAGCTAAATAGCTGTTCCCACCCTGCACCTCCTGCAGGGCAGCACAGCGTGACTCAGTGCTCACACTCTAAACAGACAGATGGCCATTACGTACAGTGCTTTCGCAAAGAAAAAAAAAAAAAAGAAGGTCTGCAATCATTTTCATGAAGCCCAGGGGTGCTTTAGCTCACCAGAGGCACACGAGATATGCAGCGCTAAAAACGCTCAGTTGGGCTCACTACCAAGCCTCCAACTGTCTCTGATGCTACCTGCTTCCTTCAAAAGAAAAAAAACCCAACCTTCCCTTCCCCCTGCTGCCCCAACTCACCCACCCACCACAAAGCCTCCAGTGGCCCACTTGTGATCATGCAGAGAGTGAAAGCTATTGTGTAGTGGACAACCTCTCGCCCGCAGCTGTTCATTTGATGTATAGGTGCGTCACTCGCTCGGGGGGGTGTCAGCTCAGACCGCAGAATTCCTCCTCCTGCTCCCTCTGCCCAGAGGAAAGAGAGGTGTCAGCTGGCCAACCTTGAAAAAGAAAGTTGTCTGTTTTGAGGACACACTTATAATAACTCCAAACAAATGGGCTAGCAGGATGCATAGCATAGGTTGAGACACAAGGGATCCTCGTTTCTCCTGGATGAATGATGATACAGTTTTACTATGTCCTTGTAAGAAAAGCAGAAGAATGAAATCACAATCATTGATTAAGTTTTCATGACTTTTTCTCTAATTGGCAGTTGCAGCTGGATAATCTCACTCGAATCAGTTTTATATCCTAAAAATGAAGCCAAAGCTTTGCACGGCAGAAAGGAAATAGCTCAAAAGATTGCATGCTCAGCATTTTTTTTTTTTTTTTGCAATCGCTACTTTGCTTTCTCGGGTCTTTTGTAAAATAAATGACTGCTTTTTGAAGGAAATTATATAAAGGTAATTTCATTGAACAGTTACAAATGCACAGCCTGCAGGAGAGCACACGGCTAACCATTTGAGATTAGATTAAAGGTAGCATTATGATTTAAGAATATGATTAAAGCATTCGTTTTAAGACCACTGACGCATGCTGATCTCACTTAGAGATATGGTGCTTCGGGAACATTGTTTGAAATTCTCCTAATGCTTGCATTAAATGTGCATGCCAGCCGTGCCCTCGCCCATGAATCAGTCATGCCCTTACATTACTGGTACATCTCTGCTTTTCATTATGAATTCATGCTCACTGTGGATGACAAGAAAACTCTCTTGCCCCCAAGTGAATCACTTCACATTTTAACAAAATGAAGCAAGTAAAGCATGCATGTTGAGGAATTTACACAATTCAAGATAAGTGAGGAAAGCTACAACAACTCAGAGAGGAATGAACACAAACGGTTTCTACAAGCATTTCAAATTGAGCAGCGTCGGGGACTCTTCTTCTTCTCAGTGGGCCATCCTTGTGCATCTTTTAGCTCGGACAAAACACATGCAAGTTAGTCTAAACTGCAGCTTGTGCAGCATCTGTGTGAGCCGACCCCCTCCCCCCTTCCCCCTTCACTCACTCACTCAGCCGAGTGTGAATGTTTTAAAGTGAAAAAGAAGGTCTGTGCTGGGAAGACAGTATTCTCATGAATCACATCTCCATAGCTGTATCTCCCACTGACAGTCCCCACACAGGCTCTGACAGAACGCTACTGATATTGATGGAGAGACGTTGAGGGATGCAGACGGGCTTAATTGCAGTTTGATGACTCGAGGTGCCTCAAAGTCAACATCACCCACAGGCTTCCGCAGGCGGACCAGCTCCCCTGTCCTATACACGCTGCGCTTTCTCACTGTGTAGATTCAGAGATAGTCTGGATAAATACCGGCTGCGCTGCAGTTAATCTCATTTGAAAGGTTTATTAACTTGTTACATACCCCTCTGACAATAAATGGACGTTGAAAGATCTTCCATGGAGATCTAACAACGGTAATGACAGACATTTTTTTGACAAGTCAAGAGACAGAATACAGTACGGAGGATTTTTACAATAAGTGACATCCTGCACCAATGCTGACTTTTCCATCAAATGTCATTTACATTGAATGCATGTTGACACTCAGTGCTAACTGCTTAATCAATGGGAAACCTGGTAAGGCTTTAGCTGCATACATGACACACAACGTTTATGGTATCAATCAGTATTTTCAAGTCTACCTTGGAAGAGAATCAAATATTTTTTTGAGTCATGATCCACTTTGGAGTGAAATATTTTTTTAAAAAAGGATATGCTTTAATGCTTTAATCCGGGCCATCCAGTCGGGCCTCATTGCAGCCCGATCTGATGTTGATATTTGCGTTGTGGCTAGTGATGCATGGCGCCCGATCACGGCCCAATCGGCTGCCCCCGACAAGGAAAACCAAGATGGAAAAGTATTTCATAAACCAATGGGAAAGGTCATGTTGAATACATCCGCTTTCCTTACAAAGTCTACAGCGACTGGTTTTCCCAATGAACAGAAGATTATTTATATCGACATGTTCAATTGAAACAGCTTCATTAATCCAACTGGGAGCAACTGGTTTGGGATTAATTAAGTTGGATATCATAAATTCACAGCTAACAACCCTTAAATAACACAGAGTGGGTTTCCTCTTCAATGCGTACATTCAAGAGATTCCCATATGGTCACTTTTATCTTGCTACGGACAAAATGTTGTTCACCAGGCTTCAAAAGAAAGGGTTCCCAAGCCAATGGGTGACTCCAAAGTGACCACGTTCACTCCTTTTAACATTTCACCGATGGAACTAATTGACCAAAATGCATCTCATGCAACCCTTAAGCTCTCTGATGATAGTTTATCTTTTTTATATATCTGTACACATTATCTGCAACTAATGGACACAACAGTCAAACGAGTCGTCTCTCAACTTCAACTTCTTTCCTGTATCCCAAGTAAAGTGGGACTGTTCACAATGATCAGGACATCAGTTATCCATATATCCTCTGGCTACACCTCAAGCTTGGAAATGTTGGCCGTCCCTCCCAGTCACATAATCGTTGTCAGATGATAGCCGACGGGGTTCCGGGACTCCAATTAGGCAGAAAATTTACAGAAACTGTATTGTTTAGGCCTCAAAACGGAGGCATGAAAGCAATTTTTATTTTGTTAGTGAGATTACGGTAGTGATATCATGAGACCACATATGGTTGTAAAAGCTGTACAGAATTAAATTAACACTCAAAGTCAATTTTGCCACAAGTCCGTCCTCCCCGCCTCAAATATTAATAAGACAATCCATCTGTTCATACATGGCAGAAGTCTTCCGACTTAATAACAGCTCGTAATTTGGATGGGGAAACAGTCACTATATCTTGTTAAATGAATGGCTTCACAGCGGCTGTTGTCATTAGTGTGTTGAGAGGAAACGGGGGAGGGGCTGAAGCTGAATGGCAATTATTGTCTGTAGGAGTCTAGGTTGTGCAAACACGCTGCAACCATTCTCAGATGTCTCTCTTCTCTCAGATTACTAAAGTCTCTTAACTATTTATTTATTTATCGTCCGTTCTTTGTTGTTTGCTGATTGCGGGCTGTATGTATGCATGTGTTCTGCTGCTGACTGCAAGACAAATTGCCCTCTCGCAGGGACAATAAAGACAACCTTGAACCTTAAACAGATGCTCCATAATATCTCAGCACAGAGAATCTTTAAAGCCCTCTACAAGTCCTCACATGTCAGACTTGAACAACAATAATCTCTGATGAACAATATTTAATCTCTCTTTGTCTCTGTTGTTGTTGAGAGTGTCACAACAGGGGAACTGGAGATGTGAGACCATGCCATGACTCCCAACAAAAGATGAATTTGGATTTTTCTTTTTCAGAACAAATGCACGGTGGCAAAAGTGCTGGCTGGAAATGACAGCGTGAGAAATACATATAATATGATGACTCGCCTCTGTGTGTCTTTAAAAAACTAGAATCACCATCACAAATCTTTTTATTTTGCATTCAGAGTGTGTTTTGAAACGAGGTGGAAGTACATTTGCTTTACAGCTCTGTTTACTTAGAGTATTCTCCTCATAACTGACAGGTAGAAATCCCATTAAAAAAAACCCTCTTAGGAGAGCTCAGCAGCAGTCATCAAGTGCCATCTATTGGCAGCCAGGGGAATGATTCTAACATGTAAAAGTGCTGCAATGCAACAGGGGCTTGATTTTTCATTTGACTCTTATCACCACAGTGTCGTCGTGCTTCTTTTCCCCCCTGACATAATTACTTGTCTTGCTAATATGACACAGTATAGTGCTTCTGATTGTTATTCGCAGCGTCTGCCGTTGCCTAATTTTCACTTTTTTTGTTGCCTTCCTTTGCTGCCAGTCACTGCCAATGTTTTCTGCTCTGTTCACACTGACAGGGGGAGAATGGCGAGTCCGGAGTCCCAGTGGAAAAGGGGGAGAAAGGAGACCCTGTGAGTATTATCCCGCGGTGACATTTACAGTGCTGACATGTTACAGAGTCATTAACCAAGGCCTCCTCCCACAGGGTCAGTCAGGTGCTGAGGGGGGCAACGGGACGAAAGGAGAAAAAGTGAGTCGATGTCGAGTGTCAATACACGATGATTCCCTTTGTTTGTCCTTACTGAAAACCCTTCCTGTGTGTGTAGGTGCGTTAGGGGGGGGGATTGAAAGGAGGGGGGTTTAAGATAGAGATGGAGGTGGTGGAGGTTAGGTAGTTCAAGCAATATAATTGGTATGATACACCAGAATCCAAAGCGTAAACCTTTTAAGGCAGTTATGTTACCTTCCACTGATTTCTCTGAAACCTTCAGTCTGCACATAACCCAAAAACTTTTTTCCCCCCCTTCAGTTTTCTCCTTATGGCTGTTATTTATTAACCTCTGCATGTCTAAAAATCTGTCACTTATCAGAAAAGAAATATCTATAAAAATGTAATTTCAGCAAAAATCTTTCTGCAAATTGGCCGATGTGCCCGGGAAATACAGACAATTTGTTTGTGCAAAAGAGTCGAAACAGTTCTTTTTCATGCCTCTGTGCCAGCGAAGGCAGTAGCCTGAAGCGTTATGTTTATAGGGTCAGACATCCATCCCCTTCCCCTGTCATGGGAGCATAATCTCAGTAAACACCTTGAGGACATCTCCTTAGATTTGCTATAAATGTCCCTTTGGATGAAAGCAGGAAGTGATTAAAAAGTTGTGGTCAAATGTCAAAGTTTTTGGCCATAGCTCAATAAGTCGTTTGCTAATGAAAGACCCAATTTGGAATAAATGTTTAATAAGATGAAATAATGAAGCCGTGACATTTATTACCAAGAAGGTCAAGGTCAAATTCACTTTAACATAATCCTGTTTTGAATAAAAAACCTTCCCTGCAGTTTTTCTGTTTCTTGTGAATATTAGATTTTAGGAAAGACTTATGAAAACGGCTTCACTTTTTTTACAGATATCCCCTGGGAAGTTTTCATTTTTTTCATTCTGTGAAACATTATTTATTTAGGAATAGCTTGTCGAGATTAAATATCTCTTTTTCAGTTGTGTCCTGGTTGAGATAGATTGCAGCACAGTTCACCAAGCAGTACAAAAGGTGCATGACTTTAAAGAAGCAATATGTAACTCTGACACCTAGTGTATAAAATAGGTACTGCAGTCCAAAATCAAAACATTGGAGAGAGCTGTCTCTCCCCGCCCCCTCCTACCTAGAGTCAGGTTGCCATGTTGCAGACTCTGAAGCGTCAGTGTTTATCCAGCTCTGCATGGGTCTGTAAAACTTTCTGCGTTCTAACCTCTCTCCATTTTTCAAAAAGCATCTCCAATATTGATCCTAGTTTGAGCACGTTTCTGCTCGTGGAGCTTATTAGAAACATGCAGAGGCTTTTTAGGTCGGGTACAATCACTTCTATCTGAACCACTTCTCTTGCCCGCTTCCATCGCTGCAACACCTCCTGGTTTGCCGTTTGCCTGGCAAACCAGGAGGTGCCCAAATATCGCTGAACGAAAACAGAGCATTCAGGAGCAGAATCTAAAGTTAGAAGGAGGACATACTGGCTGCTGCATTGTTGTCATAGAAGCCAGCACTTCAACATAGCATGTGTCTAATGATAAAGTAAGGTCATTTTAGGATTTAATTTGGTGGATTTCTGACACAGTGCAACTTTAAGACATGTTTAAACCTGCAAATATTAAGCACAAAAACAAATACATCAGGCAGAACATCTAAACAAAGGTTAAACTTCATCGATGAACACAAAACAACTCATGATAGAAATTTTCAAAATAATTCTCTCCATATATTAAAGAGGTCTATCCAGACATGGATTCAGAACCTCAGACAGCCTACTGTAGGTTTTTAATTGGCTGACCCATTATCATCCCTTTGCAGCCTGCTTCAAAGCATGGCTGGAAACGTTCACCTCTTGATGACCTAAAATGTTCAGAAGGATCATAGAAGTAAAAGAAAAAAAGCTCAGGGATTATTAGTTACAACATGCATTTTCTGATGGCCTTGTAGGTGCTTATGAATCTGAAAACACGCAGATATTTTACCTTTGTCAATTTAAAATACACAAACTGATTGCTTTTACATTTTGAATGGAAGACCGGAGGCTCCCGAATGCAAATCACCAAACTCAAGAACCTTCTACAGATCCCCTGAGCACCCAGTGCACGCAATACAAAGATATATCAGCTCATATATACACAGAAGATATGTATGGCCACATCCTCCATGATCCACTTGAAGTGCACACCACCACACTCTGCTTTTTAACAAGAATTCTTTAATGTTTTCTTTCCACTCATCTCACGGCTCTTCTTGCATCTTTTGAGTTGGACTATATTTCCTCTGAAGTCTGGTGGTGTTATTGCCTCCTTTATTGTTGCTGCAGTCCTATTGATGTCGCTGTTCGAGGTCAGCTGTGGCAACTCGCTTTCACAAGTAGTTTCTAAAGTACATTTCTGTTCTGTATATGTCTTTTTTTTATTTCATTTCCTCTCTTTTCTTTCTGTCGGTGTCATTTTGTCTCTCTGTCAATCAGTGTGCAGCGATTTATATTTTGCTTCTGTTGTGTGTTTTTTTTCAGGGGGATGTTGGCCCTCCTGGTCCTCCTGGTCCTGTAAGTAACATACTAAAACCTACTTTATTGTCTGTTTATTTTTTATTTTCTATGTTCCCAAAAGGGACACAGAACAATGCTGCATGAGTAACAACCACAGAAACTGTTGGAGCATCAACATCTCAAGAATAACAAACCTGCACTCCTTTTTCAGCTTGAAGCAGCATGAAAACAGTTTAAAAAATACAGGAAATACAGTTTTAATCCTATAGTTTGTCCATCACGGTGTCTTAACAGTTCTATTGTTGAAGATGTTGCAGCACCAGTAGCAGAGCGTCACATCTGAGCAGGCGGTCGTTTTGCACTTGGGATGTGCTCAGTTAGCTGACCTAGGATTAACCGTCGTCACTCTCACTAGTCGTCACCTGAATGACTAGTTAGTTAATCTAGTTATTAATATATTATTAATTCAGGCCTGCAATGATGCCGTTGTATGTAGGCTGAGTCAGAAAAATAACAACTCGACCGGTGTGACGCTACATTCAGCCGTGCATGTGGACGTCAACCTGCAAGGCTATCAACACTGTTAGCAAACCAGTTTAACATTGTTGTCCAGCAGACACTGTGAACCTGAGTTTAACCATATCAAATAAATTCTGCTCAGCCTTTACTGTTGGCTGTTTTCTTAACTTCAGTCTCAGTCGACTAGCATGAATTTAAATTAGCATTTAATCACTAGGGAATCGCTAGGACGTTGGTTTGCATTGGATGGTGTTGACAGTATATTATAAAGTTTAATATAACTTTAAAAGAACACACAGCAAACAGTAATAAAGGTTCAGGTGCACAACTGCAAAAAGACAACAAGTAAACAGAAAAGTCAACAAACTTAATGTCCTTTAAAGTTTTTATTATCTTGGTAGAGCAGCAGCGTACGGATCAACAACAGACGTGTTTCAAAGCAAAGCCGACGAAGGCTCTGTTTTCTTGCTTTCAGGGATCCTCCTAGAAGAGTTCTGCTTTCAGTCCAGCTCAAACATTCAATATATCAGCCTTCAAATCAGTACCTCTCCCCTCCAGTTGTGGTATAAGTCTCAGTCTTTATTATGCAATAACAGTCCGGCACTAAACATCAGTCTATTTTCTGCCTATGAATAAACAAAAAATGTAAAAATGGGGTACAGGAAAAACTCATCAGCCTTGTTTTGTTCCCCTTTTCTGTCATTCTTCCTACATGCTGGCGTGTCTTCTTAAAACCAATTTCCATTCAGTGACAAGCCTGCAGCTCTGTTCTATCTTTAGATTTGTAGTTTTCATTTAACCCCCCCCCCTTGTTTTCTGTACTGACATTGGATCAGTGTTGATAAAGGGCAAACACATGGGCAGCCTTTTCAAGGCACTTGAGATAAGTTGTGTTGAATTTCTCTGAATCTCAGATGATATCATAATGGTATTAAAAGGAATAATGTTTGGCAGCAAGCGCCTTTTAAAAAATATAAAAGAGATTTATGTGTTAAACTGTTTCTTAAACACTGAGAGATGTCCGCTGTGATTTCCAGCGCAGTTGTTATCAAATTAACAAATTTCTTAACCCCTAACCATAAGTAATAATTAAATGTGAGGTCAGGGAAGCAGAATATGACCTGTTTATGAGGTACATGATCAGGCTTTATAGATCAGTTTTGTTGTGAGACACCACGTCTGCTTTAAGAGGAGAGGTTGATAAAAACAGAGAAACCCTGACGTCACGCTGGCTGTCTGATGCACGCTGAAGGTGACACCGAGTGGGCGGCGCACGGGTGATTGAACTCATTTCTCAGACGTTTTTCTAAAGTCTGTGACAAATCAGTTAAAGATCTGCAAGGGGGCAGTAATGACTCCGGAGACATGCTGCAACTGTGAGTCAAAGAAAGACACTTAATGTATACGCAGGGTCGAATGACAGCGTGGCGTTTGAGCCCACGTTTCCCAAAGTGAGGGTGTTGACATTAAGAAGACTCAACTGTCTGTCGAACAGTTCATTGTTGTTCTCCTACTCATTTGTCTTCAATGTGGATGGAAATATTTGTTGCAATGTGCATCTAAAGAGCTGTGGAGGCTCAGTTACAGAGCTAAACTGAGGTAAATTATGCTGATGATGTAGTTCAAACATTAGAATCAAATTTTTTTTTAAGCCAAAATCAAGTTCTCAATCATCCATATATCAGATCAGAATCAAAATCTTCTGTCAAATTTTTGATTTATTTAGTAAATATTAGATAAAACAAGCAGGAAGATGTACAGGAGCTGATTGCGTGAGCTAAAAGGAACTTTGACTTTTTGATCCAGTAGATGTCGCCCTTGAGCTCCAGCATGAAACCAAAACAAACTGCTGATTGGTGACACCTCCGCTATTCTGAAGCCTCCGCTCTCCTCCAGCGACACACCTCCAACCCCCTCTCCACTCGCGTTCACAAGAAGGAGATATGAATTAAAACGCACCATAATTAAGCACCATAAGGCCCAAACAGAATTGTCCTTTGCTCTAGCTGCAATCACCTGTGGCCTGCATTGTTGTGTTAGCATGCTAATGTTAGCACACCTTAGTTAACTCATAGCTTCATATTGCACATCAGTTGACACTTAATGTGACATCCAAATAAGCAGTGAGGATGTTATTCTTCTTTTTCTAGGCCTCGACTAAAACAGAGTTATACACAAGGTCGTCCCGTCCATGTAAACACGACTCTGACAACAACACAGCCAGCGGGACTCAGGCTTCTCACTCATTGTAGACAGTCAGGACTCAGAGATATACTTGATGTCTGCTGTTTTACTGTTGCACATTCTGCCTAAAACCCAAGAAGATGATGCATGACCCACTGTACTTTATTTTAAATAATTTGTGTATTTTCCTAAATTCCAGACATAAAGAAACATCGTGTCAGAGCTAAAACACCCAGTTGTGTTCATTGTTGTGTGGAGAGTGTATAGGCATGTATACTATACAGCACAAAGCAGAGGGAGACACATTAGTCATTTGATAAATGAGGCTGTTTGAATATTTAGCACCAGTCTCTGTCTGTGCTCTATGCTTTCCTGTGGCAGATAATTTTGGCAGTTAAGCATTGATTTCCCTTACACAGCAGAAGCGAGGGCTCAGATCATTACCCTCTCTTCATAAACCTTCTTGTGCCTCTGTTTATTAGTGAAGGGGAGGAGCGGTCGGCTCACAGGCATGCACGGCCATCACTTTCCTCACTGCCTTTAAAGTGGCAAAACAGTCTTTTTTTTATTTTAGCTCTGAGGCGTTCCTGTTTTTTTTTTTTTTTAATGGTTCCAGTTTTGCTTTAAAAGCGACTTTTATCATCTATTAAACTCGATCTGTTTTTTCAAGTTATGTTGGCTTAGAGGCTCTTTGCAGTATTTCACCACTCTTGAGGAAATCTAGTCTCCGTTGATGTCACGGAGACGTTGTGAAGAGAAAATGAACAGGGACAGAAGAAGATGCAATACCTCAGTGAAGGTTACTTTAACAACTGCTGCAAAGGATGGAGCTTCAGGTCACATTTTTTCATACTGTAAAATTTGAAATCACAATCACTCTTGGTTTGCATCAAGCAGTCTTGAAAATTAAGCAAAATCGGGAAGTGCAAAATCCTGCAGTTCGTCGAGTGTCCACTAGGGGCTGGCTCCAGGAACAGCGGGAGTCACAAACACACCACAAAAGAGCAGGTTAAGGACCTTACTCATTGTTAAAGAAAAATGGAATACAGAGGGGCTGGGATAAGATGCAGAAGCAGGGTGAATTTCTCCTTTGTATTCCTCTCGTTCCTGTTGTCCACACTCCCTCACCGCCGAGGTGGAGGTCGGAGCAGGCCGTGCATGAATGAGGACGGCGGTGGTTGTGGGGACGACACAGTCTGATGGTGGTGTCTGGGCGTCAGGGAAGTCGGGTTGTAGTTGTGCCAGATCACCTCACTTTCAGGTTGAAGCATTTACTAGAATGCAAATGATTTCTTTCTGGATGTTAGATGGACAATAAAAGCAGGTGTAAACAGTCAGGACCGACTGTTTAAGGCCTTACACATTAAAGACTTAGCAAAGCAATCTGGAGCGATTTGTATCGTCAATATTTCTTACAAGATTGCAGAATACTTCAATCTGATTGGTGAATGTCAGCAGCACCTCTGCTGGGAGGGACTGAGGATTAACACCAATCATATTAAAGGAGCAATCTGTAAGATATCTACTGAATAAAATCCTTAAACGACCTTTCTCCCTTTTAGAGGAAGTCCATGTTAGCTCCTTGGTCTTGACCTTTTCCCTCCTATTTTTTTTTTAATACTGTCGTTCAAGGTTTTGCTGCACAGTGTCCACAAGTCTATGAACTTTATTGTAGATATAAAAAAAAATACTGACACTATATAAATAGAGATTTATTCCCTTTCTGAAACCAGGTGCTTGTTGGGTTCAAATATTTTTGAATCAATGCTTTTAAATTCTTTACTGCCTTTAAAAAACAAATCAGCGGCTCAGAAGACTTTTGATTGTGATGTTTTTTTCTAGCAGTAATTGTGAGATCAGTGGAGACTGATAACAGGGAACACTGTGTCTCTTTTGTTTTTATCACTTTTAGGTGATGACAGCTCACGGATTGAGACTCTCTGGAACTGTAAGCAGCTTTTCTTAATTATAACAAATGTTTAAGTATTTTTCTTCTGTGGCTCCTCTTCAAACTGTACCCCAGGTACACTTTAGTCAGATATTGAAGTGGTCTGATTTATCTTGTGTTTGAGGATGAAATGAAAGAGGGGATCCGAAGTGGAGAAAAGGGAGATCAGGTAACTATTTCCCCTTATATTATGTCTTATTCAAGACAGTCGAACAACAGGTAGCTGCCACCAAGTTATCTGATTGGACAAGAGAGATCACCGGGAAGCTGCTCTGTGGTAACCACGGGCCGACAGAGAATCAGAGGTTTTGTCTGAAACCACATACTAACGTAGTACCTTCTACATACTCAAACAATACAAACTGCATATCGCATACTAACCCGACCATTAGTATGCAGTTATCTAATTGCAGATGAGACACAGGTGTGTTGGGACAAAAGGCGGGAAACAGAACAATGGTAGGAAGTAAGACTAGATATGTTACAAAAGCACTGGATTACAAAATAAAACAGGAAGTGAACACAAAACACATGTATATAAAATGGTACATGTATGGATGGTTGAACTGAATATCACAGTTATTTTATGTGTTAATTGATCCCCCGCCTGCGTTAAGCCTCACCTTTAAGATGTGCGACAGCAATGACGTCATTGTGAGTACCCGGAGAGAGAGAGAGAGCGAGTCGAGAATAGAATAGAATAGAATTACTTTATTGATCCCAAACTGGGAAATTGTGTCGTTACAGCAGCAGGTTATCCAAACACACAATATGAGCAAAAAACACAATATTAGCAAATTTAAACATAATATAATATTAAATACAAAGTAAATAAGCACTAAAAATATCAAAACTAAGAATGGGAATATATACAACCAGGATTTAACTTAGCATTACTAGTCTTAAATATGAAAGATTAAAGAGACCGAGTCGTGTCTGTTTTATTCTGACCTATGCAGTTAGTAGGAAATGAGTGAGTGTGTTATTTCAGTCTTTTAAAATGATTGATTAACTATTAGAAACTCCTCAGGTTTAGCTTTCAAACCCTGCATCCGTTTGAGACCACAGGGTAAAAAAAACAAAGTCTCAATTTCATATTGAAACATCAACCCAAACAGCAGTGACATTGGCCACTTAAAAAAACCAACAGAGGATCACCTGCTGATCAGAGTCCAGTGTCCTCTGTGTGCTCCGCAGAGGAGGAGCACAGAATACATCAGAGTCCAATTATTGTTTGGACCTCAGAACAACAGATGTATCTACTTGAGGCAGGCAGCTTTTTTTTTTCAAAGGCCACCGAGGCTGCTATTGACGAGACATCAAACACATCTGAATCAAAAGGAGAAAAGAGATGACATGAATAGAAATAGGAATCACGCAAATGAAAGAAGATTTGTGCATTACGGCCAAAATACTCAGCACACGACCAAGACGAGAGGAAGAGGTATAGAGCAAGAAATGTTCTGCATGATATCTCCGAGGTGATTTAGTTTGAAGAAGTTTCACTCTTTGATTTAATTCTTAAGAAACAAACTTTGCAAAGGAAATACTCCCATGTTCTTAACCTTCACACGGTGTACAAGCTTCACTTCTTGAAGGTCCTTGAGGATTTTCTTAAACCTTTATCCAGTCAGAATAAGAAAATGGGTTACCTGAATATTCTCTGTATGTACGCCTTGAGAAACAATGAATCTCTATCACCTTTACCTTCTGCAGGGCGAGAGAGGAGCTCAAGGACCGCAAGGCTTAAAGGTAACTTGTTAAAGACTTAGTGCACAACAGGATCGAGCTGTAAGGAGCTACATATTGATTATTAAAGATATTTTACACAGGGAGTTTCTTCCTTTGACGGTAGTTTGTTTTCCTATTTTGGTGTTTTGAAGCTGTAGTCGGACGACCTTACATTTCTGACAGATTCATTCTCTTTGAGTCAGTTGTGAAATATTTGAAACATCAAATATTTACTTCAGGTTTTCGCTCGGTTGTTTGTGTGTTAGAGTTATTGTGAGAAGTAAAAAATCTGATGTTTATTCTCTTGCATTTTCCCCGCTCCCTCCTCCTTTTCTTCTTTCTCACACGGATGTAACAGGGAAGCACGGGCCCGCCAGGTCTGAAGGGAGATCTGGGTCCAGAGGTGAGTCTAGCATTGTTTATCTCATGTCTGCTTTGTTACTTACTTTAGATCGAAAACTGACACGTCTGACACACACTGAGAAAACAACAACAGTGAGACCGAGGCTGCCCAAGTTCAAGTTGTTTATCGAACTAAAAAAAGGGAAAGAACATCAAACTTTGAAGAGTGTGATGTTTTATTTGTCTTAGGCCACATGTGAAGCAGTGAAGCGCGGGGCTGTGTGCACGGGAGCTCTTGTATGAAACGTTTTGTCGACAACGGCCGCTGTATGATCGACTCTGCTCCGTTGCTTTTTCACTTCAGAATCAGAATCAGAATCGAGGTTTATTGCCAAGTACATTTACACAACAAGGAATTTGACTTGGTGTATTGGTGCTAAACAATTAACAAGGAAATAAAGCAGAACTAGCAACAACTTAAGTAATACAGTACAAGAAGATATTACAATATATAAAATAGAATTTAAAAATGTAAAATATAAAAAACACAAAATGTACAAAAGGTGCAATGTAGCAGCTGTGCCGTGGACTATTTCACTTTTTTTTTAATTTGAGATGTGGGTACAAGAAACAATCAGTAGGTGACAAACTACGGAGAATATCGTACATTTGGAAAAGAGAATCGGCGACTTATATAGTGCTTTTCTAGAAAGATTAAAAGAAAAAAGGCTGAGGCCTGAGTACGCTGGGTGCTGTGCTTTTTCTCCGGGCAGCTGCCTGCTGCTGCAAACACTGCAAAGTTTACAATGTTAAATGCATGAAAAGGCTGAATGAGTTCAACTAAATCATTCTTATGATCTATCCAGAGGTTTCTTTTGCAGATTCTCCATTCATGAAAACATAATAAAACGTTGCTGCTTAGTTTAATGCATTCAGATTTATAATAAGAAAGCAGCCAGTACTTCTTTTCAATGCCGTTATTATAACATAAGCTCATTTTCCATGGTGATATGTGGACCTCTCTTTTTTTCATCCATGACAGTAATGAGTCAAAACGAAAGGTGCACATATATTTACATGCTATCTAGAAAACAATAAGCAGGTCACATACGTGTGTGTGTGCAGACTTAGAGCTGCTCAGACGCGATGACATCATCACAGAGATCTCTGTTGTGATTTTTGTGTTTTATTTAAAAGGCAGCAGGGTCAGCGTCGACACAAGACCGCTGTTTGAAATCCTCTAGAAACGTCTGTGTTTACAGTGTGGCTGGCTGGGCTATAAAATATGAAAGCCCAGAGAGTTCTGTCACAAAATAAAAGGAGAGAATAATCCACAGGATTGTTGTGCTCTGTGTTTTGCCAGGGGAAGCAAGGCCTGCCTGGACTCCCAGGACTCCCAGGAGAGCCAGTAAGTATGTGGGCACTAGACACTGGCTCTTGGTGTCAAGCCTCTACTTGCCTTTTCGATCACCTTGCCATCTCCTCTACTCTCTTACTCAGTCTGCCAGATTTATGGAGAGAGATAAACAGAAAAACGTCAACAGGCAGAGATAGAGAGCAAGCGGGAAGACAAGTCCAGAATTTTTTTACACAGACGATCAGTAATCAAATTTAAGAATTAATTAGAGGAAAGAGGCAAATCTAAGCGCTTTATGCCAGGAATGGAGGCAGAGGCCCAATCTGTTCTCCACACCTGCTTCGGTAATGAGCATCTGTCTTTACTCAAAAGCAGGGAGGGAAAAGAGGCATTTCATAAATCCTGGCTAAGGGAAATTATGTTGGAACACGGCGGCCCGCTGAAGCAGTGAGGAGGAGGAGATAAATGTGTTTTTAGGAGATGAAGGCCCGGTGATAGATGTGTCTCTTTTTACCACTATTTACAGGGCTCGCCGGGGGAGACGGGGTTGCCCGGGAGAGATGGCCTGAGAGGAGAAAAGGTAGGTAAAACTTCAATTCAACTTCTCGCCTCAAAAGAAAAGATGTGACGCTCTGATGTTTTATCACAGGTTGAACATGCTGGACAACTCGTGAAGACGCCTTTCAGAACGCTCGCCCTGCATGCCATCCCCAATCACGCTGCATCTTTGTGTTCTTGCCTTTGATGCCTCCGACTGCTCCGTTGTATATGTACTCACATTTTTCTCTTGCAGCAGGACTTGTTCCAAATGCTGTGCTGAAAAGCAGCAAAGTGTGCAGTTGACATGCATATTTGATGGGGGTTTGTCACTTGTCAGAATAAACGAAGCAGTGCTCAAGTCTCTCCCCCCTCGCCCTCCGGAGTCTCTCTGATACACTCCGGGGCAGAGACATAAAATCTAAAGTGCTCAAACCTCCTACATCAATTCACATTCAATCCTCCTTTGTCATCGCTGCCAGTCTGACGCAAGAGGCCGTCGTGGTTACATTCATGTGCTTGTCTGTGAATAAATATATATAAAGAAGAACAAATAATGTCAGTGAGCTAAATACGAAGCTGGAGCCTGGAGACAACGAGCTTAGCTTAGCATGAAGACTGTGAGCAGGAGGCCTTGCTTTAGCCTAGCATCATCACAGAGGCTTGCTCACATATGAAGTGATTTTGACTTGTTAAAAGAACAAGTCAAAACTTATGAAGGCACCTGGTAATTTCTTTAAAGGCTTTATCTGCGATTTTTCACACTTAAATATAATATAAATCAAGAATATCCTCTGAAAATAACTCTGTGAGTCATGACTGTCTACAATGGGTGTAACACCCGAGTCCCACTGTCTCTGATGTTTTCAGAGTTTTCAGAGTCCTATCTTCACTTTGTTTACATTGCCGGGACGGCCGGCTGACTCCTCCCCTCGTGTATAAAAGTTGTTTAATTGAGGGACTAGAGAAAAGAAGAATAACATACTGTACTCACTGCTTGACTGTGTTTCTAGATCACGCTCATTTCAGGTAAATTTACATGCAGTGTGAAGATACCAGCATAATAAAGATCGCTAGCATCAGCATGCTAACACAACAATACACCGCGAGTTGTTTTGGTTTCATGGGCAACATGTGCTGGATCAAAAAATCGCATATAAAGCCTTTAAAGCACAATATATAACGACTAAAAAAGGGAAGAAATATTTTGCTATCATAGTTTGGTTTCTGCAGCGTTAAACGTACATTATATCACATTTTTACACTTAATCTTAAAGTTGCGGGATGTGTCTGTTGTGGCGGTCATGACAGACATGACATGTTTATCGTTGCCGTGGAAACACTGGATGTTACGTCAAAGACCAAAGAAAGCGGGAGCTGCTACTGAAAGCTGCTGTTCTGTTGCTGCATGTGCTGCTGTGATAAAAACGTCATGGAAATGATACTCAGATACGTTAGCTCATCAGTAAACATGTCCTCTTACTCAGGTCGGTTTTCGCTCGGAAGCTTAAAACTGTGTCCTCTACAAACAATGTTAATGTTTCCCTCCATTGATGTGCAATGATCCTCGTAAGCGGTGTGTGCCTCTGCTTTATAATCCAGACTCTCCCCTGTCTGTAAAACAGAACATCCTGTGCATTGAGCCAGTCTGACACTGTGTCGGAAAGAACATGTCTAAAAATGGTCTTTCTGTCCGTCTGCAGGGGGACTCTGGTGGAGTGATGGGACTACAGGGACCTGCAGGTCCTAAGGGGGAGCCAGGAGAGCCAGCAGGTGGATACATGGTGGGTACCTTATCAAGATAAGCCGGTCACTTTCATCTGACCTTGCTGGGATCAGCCCTGGAGTCCCAGGTTGCAAAAGAAGAAACTAGGGAGACAATGCACATTATTCATATATATGTAAATGCAGCTGAGTGGCCCGTAGATCAAACGTTACATATACAGAGACATTAGCCACATGTTTGACTCCCTACTTTAGCCCTTTGATGTATTTCTACCCCACTCTCTCCTCCCAAAAATGTCCAATCAATAAAGGGAAAAAGGCAAGAAAAAAAAAGGCTAGCTTTCATATGTGGTATAAATGCTGATAATGAAAGAACTGCAATTTACTTTTACTAGTTAAAAACGACAGAACTGCCATTGTTAAACAGAAGGAAACGCAGGAGAAAATTCAAGACGAGTCAACAAAGCACATCGTGGAGAAACAGCTGGAGCAGCTGCAGATGAGTTAAAGAAACTAGCTCCTCCAGCTGTGAAGCTATAGCATGGCATTATGGCCATTAAGTCATCCACCATTGGATAACCTCAGCCTGGGTAATCACCTATCCTCCCTTTTTTTTTAAAGCGTATAGCTGTCGAAGCACTCTCTTTTATGTGCGTGGCTTTGCATATAGGAATGTTCATTACAGCTCCACCAAAAGACAAAGGCAGCACATGTGCAGCCGAGGCCTCAGTCCTGGTTGACGGCGCTCGCACTTCTCAATCAACGGCGTGCTCCACGGCTTTAAGCGATCATGTTTGTTTGTGTGTGTGAGTGCTGAACTGAACATTAAGCCTGACAGCAGAGCTACTCGTCAAGCGACGGCTATACTGTGTTCAGTTGAGCAGAGTAATGGGGGAAAGATTGCATCCAGGCAGAAGTATTTAAACCCCCTTAATGTACTCTAGCACTCTGAAAAGTCGCAGTAGGATTGAACAAGAGGGCTATTCATGTATGTGCGTTTAAGTGTTGAGTGGAGATGTTTACAGCAGCTCAGCGACCTTGAGGTCAACAGATCCTGAGTCTTTATGAACATCCTTTCTGTCTGGAAGAACTGGAGCGAAAAAAAGCACTCTCACCGTTTTAAAGTCTTTGTTATGGTTGACAAAGAAAAGGAAAAAAATCACTAAACAGAACTCAGTGCACGTCTTCTAGGATTCTTTAATGAGTCCGCCTTCTCAAGGCGCTTTATTGATTTTGCTTTTAAATGAATAATTAGAAATTTACTCTTTGTTTCTTTTGACTTGTGGTATTTGCATAGCAATCACCCCGCTACTGTCAGGACCTGATGTAAAAGTGTTGTTTTTGTAGAGTGCCAGACTGTGCTCAACGTCTAATGAAACCGGTTCTTTTTTACTTTGAACAGAAAAACAATGGAGGATCACATTGTTTGTCTCAAAAGGTTTTGTGCTTCTCAAACTTTTCTGAGTTTAATTTCGGAGTGAATTATTACGTATCTCCCCGAAACTGAAGAAATGTTGTGTTGGTTCAAATCCAGCCTCGGCACAACTAATTTAAATAGTGCAATGTAGGACTTGTAACCCACTAATACACGCTGAGCACAGAAATCAATGTCTCATCTGAACTGTACTGTAAATAATGCTTACAGCGGCCCCCGATTCCAGTCAAGGTTTTTCTCTCTGCTATGGTGTTATCACTTTGCTGTTGTACCCAGAAACCTTAAAAATGTTGTTTCCAGTATTGAACGTGATATCTTCCTGTTGTTCTTTTAGGGTGATGGGTTGTCTCTAAGCAGAGGGTCTCGGGGTCCCAAGGTAAGAAGCACTGTGGAGGTGGAGGACCCTACTAACTATTTTAACTTCTCTTTACAACCTGTAATTATTATCTCATTGATATTTATACAAAATAACCAGTTTGAAAATATCCTTAAAATAAAGCAGGACTCAAAGAAATCTATTAATAGAGTTAATAATCTCTTCAGATTATAGTAGATTTACTACAATGTTTAGGCTATCTGAAAGATCTATATCACGTAGAATGAACCAAGTTCATTGTCTATATTAGCTAATGTTATTGCAATCCTTTCTATGCAGATGACTTTATTAACTCAGACCAAATCTAATTTAATTTTAAACTGGATTTCTTTATTTGTGACTTAATTAAAGTGGATATTATAACATATTAATACTTTTTGAAGGCCTCCCTTTGGTGAGTTTGTCTAGTTTTCTCTTCAACGATCACACAGATTTGGTTCATGTTGGACATTTGTAAACAGTTATTAATTCCTTCTAAGCTAATGTTTTTAACATGCAGCATGTAAGCGATAGAGGAGAGTTCAAGGTTTTATACGATGTTTAAAGTGAAGGCAGTTAAAGGAAACAATGCACGGATTACCCAGCTAGGCGTCCCAACACATGCATCAAATGAAATAGATAATGAACATGTGCGCGCTGCTGGCCTTGATCAGAGTTGTGTTTCTTCCCCTTGAAGCGACTAAAGAAGAACATAAAGGGAGAGTGAGATCCGGCATGGAGTGAATATTAATGATCAAGCGGTGCGGCTGCTCTCCATGACTTCTGGATTCAGTATCAGTGAAATCCCACCAACCGCTCTCTCTCTTTTTTCATTTTGATGTCAGGGTGAGAGGGGCGTCCCAGGTCTGCCGGGAGACCACGGTGAAAAAGGTGAACCCGGGGAGGGGATCGCCGGCCTGATGGTGAGTACGGCGCCATATGGATCCTAACGTTCATTATTCGGTTCACACCATCACACCTTCAGCATTCTCGTCTTTAGGCAATGAGAGGAAGGCATCCTCTTTGAATTTCAATATCAGTGTTCATTAAATACCCTCTCACATGGAAACTCTGGTCATTACTGCGGGTTGCGAGTGTATTGCGTTCTTCCTTCATCAAACATTCTCTGCAACGCCACTTTGAACCTCACAGATTTTGATTGTGACTCGCTAGTGGGCCTGCGTTCATTTTATTTGAAATGCAGGATTGTTGCAGACAGAGAATCGATAGAGCAAAAGGTGTCTAACACAATTCCTTTATTGGATCCCGGGTGCTAGGGGGCAGATGGTGTTAACTAGATGTGTGATGTGTTCTTAGGGCCCCATGGGACCTTCAGGAATGCCAGGAAGGGAGGTTTGTGGAAATATGCTCTTATTCCATGACACGCAAACATAACTGTCAAATTTATGTTTTTACTGATTTGCAGCTCATTGATGCTTCCCTTTAATTATTAGACACAAATAACATGTTGCAGATTTGTTCAGAGTGGTTATTTTATAGCAGGATTGTAAAAATTTGGATGTTTTTCAGGGCCCACGCGGACCCCCAGGTTTATCTGGCCCTCCTGGAGCTACAGGAAGAGAGGTGAGTGAGATCAGACCTTATTCACTCCCTCATACATCTGCAGATAAATATAAAGCTGGGAGCATAAAAGAATGTCAGCCACCCACTGCAGATGAACAAGAATCATACAGCACAGCTCCTGGACACAAAATCCCCCTCCAGCTGGGAGGGATGTGAGAGCAGAGTCACCACCCGGGCGTCTCTACAGATATCACAGCCAGGAGGATTGTTAACTCCTTTTCTTTGTCTCAATTAAAGGGCTCCCCCGGTAGACCAGGTCCCCCGGGTCCTGCTGGACCCCCAGGTGAACCAGTAAGTAGGAGAATCTAGCGTTTTCATTTCTGTAACAAACGCATCACTGCACCTGTAAAAGCATCACGGTTCAAAGTGCTATTTCCAATTTGGGGATAATTAGCAGCCATGTCCTGCTGTGCTCAAACCAACTTCTCTTTCCTGAAAATGTTGCAGATTTTGACAAATTGGCAGCACCCTGTTGTTCGCACATGTGTTTGTGTGTTCCTGGTCGTTTTATTTGTTTCAAATAAAAAGAAGTAGTGTGAGTCACAAACGTCTGCTGCTGCTGCGTCAAAGCCTCACAAATTTTAACCTATTTTTCATCATGTGTTGTAAAGACCGAGGAAACTCGTTTATTGTCCATTTTAAATTTGAAAAAAAAACTATGTGGGCTGCAACTCATAATGTTTTCTTTCTCAACCCGGAGAACAACAACATTTCGGAGATGCGAGCATTCCTGACTCGCGGCGACAAAGTTATTAAACTGTTTCCTCAAGCGTTGCAGACAAAAACTGAAAATGAAGCGCTGAAACAGAAAATGTTTTTAAGAGATGGTTTGTATGAAGTCACATTCCTTAAAGGCATTTAAGATGGTCTTCTAAATTGATGTGTGTGGCATTTTACAAAAGGCATTTTCGGCAAACAAACCACAGCAGAACATAAGCAATGCATCAAATATTTGTTAGCTTTGAAATGACGACCTTCTTTTTCAAAGATTTAATTTTTTCTCTCTTTGACAGACGGCGCTGCCACTTGTTGGAGACATGGGTGCCCTACTTAAGGTACTTTCGCTTTACAGTGAATGCTTTCTGCAGCTTTTCACGAAGAAAAAACATGTAAAGAAGATGTCTTGGTTAGCATTCAAGATTGATCCACATGGGTTCATTGAAAGGGTACTTTCATTACGAGGCTGCTTTAAGTTCAACAGGATAGTCAAAGCCCCCCTGAGTGCCTCCGTCAGGATTAGAGGGAGACAAACCATGTGCAGAAGATCTCACAATAAATCCAGACTCACTCATTCACCACTGGCATCATGTCTGTTTAAGCCTTTCTATGAAGAAAATTAAATCTTGAAATATCAAACCAGTGCAATGTCAATACTGAGTGTTAATTCCAGAGATTACCGTATCAGGAGATAAACATTGAAATCCTCCGCAGATATCAAACATCCTGCAAGCTACATACACTTGGAGGTGTTGTTGCTATGTGACAGTTTTCTCTCACACGACCGTTTATTTCTTACACCTCCCTTAAAAATAATCTCTAAGATTTTAGTTGAAGTTTATTTCTGTCACTAAAAAGTTGCTTCCTGCTGATCTTAAAACTCAGTACGGGGCGCTGGTGGTGTAGTGGTTAGAGCGTGCGTCCCATGGAGGCTTTGGTCCTCCAAGCGGGCGGCCCAGCTTCAAATCCAGCCTGTGGCTTCTTTCCCGCATGTCATTCCCTACTCTCTCTCCCTGATTTCCAACTCTATCCACTGTCCTATCTCTCCAATAAAGGCAGAAAAGCCCAAAAATAAATCTTTAAAAAAATGTAAAAACCCCTCCATACATAGTTTAGAGGATGACTCCCTTGATATGCATTAATCCTGCATATGTCTGTCTTCAATCAATCAATTCATCTTTATTTCTATAGC